AAAAACAAAAATTTCTTACGCTTTTTAAATCTAACAAGAACTCCATATATACAAAGTGAAGGTTGGTTCATCAATTGACGTGTCATGCAGTTTGCCAAAATGAGCAAAGTAAATTAAAAGTTTTGGCCCCATTTTTTGTGAAAGGTTTCAGTAATTCTTGTTTCTTGTTCCGGTAGCTGTGATAGATTTGCACGAAGAGTCATATTGTAGAAATCAATAAATCAATGGAACTAAATTTTTTGTATGAAATGAATTGGAAACGGAAATCGTAATCATACACTCTTTTTTTATAAAAACCAGTAAATCTAAGTTCAGGCTGACTGTTCTTACTTTTTACGAAAATCTGAGGCTGGATTGTTCTTGATTTGTTCTTAAATTAATAGGGTGTAAGCAGTGCTATTGCTAGCTTTTTCACTCTAAGGAGGTGTCCAGGCCTCATTTGCCAACAAAGTGAGTGAGACAGCCTTAATTTGCTGACAAATTTGAATATTCACCGAAAAAGCACCCACACATCGCTAAAAATCCTCGATTTTGAGAAAAAACGATCAAAATTGCATCTTGCAGAAGCTCAGCCTCAGTTTGTTTTTAATTTGTTCTTAACTTTTAACCAGTTTTGAGGCTCGTGTTCTTATAAAATTGTTCTTATAAAAAAGAGTGTATTTGGGATATTGCTCACTGATATCGCTTTGCAGCGCTGCCATTATGAGCAGCAACAGCGACAGCACAGCAACAACCACAAAAGCAGCTGCCTGCAAATATTGCTTGTCGAGATGATGTTATGTAAGTGTATGTGGAGGGGTTTTTCTCCAAAATCGAGTTCTCTATTGTCAGCAAACAGAAGCTTGGTTGTAGGATCATTACAAAGATGGAGCTCAAGCAGTCAGGAGAAAAAAAAGTATGTTTCTTTCGCATATCGACCCTCAATTGGTCTACAGCGCGGGGCTTGCCAAGCGCTCCTCGCTCAACATGATTGAGTGTATGACCGTTGCAGGGCTTGCGCCATGAATTTGGAATTAGGGGGAGGGGGGGGGCAAGGCTTTAAATGTAGGGAGCCAAAGCTTCTTACCCCTTTTATTGCAGCTTTAAAACTACTTGCCTCGCAAGAAAGTTGGACGGGCCCTGATGAGATGCATGCATAGAATCAGCCTGGTTAAGAAAACCGAATTTTGAAATTGCACACCGAATTAGCAATTCTAGTTTTATGTATAAACTTCTTTTCACATTTTATATACTTAGTAAAACATGTCTGCATATACAGCGTACGGTGGATGTGAAATTTTTGCACGTAGGCTTAGATTCTGTCCAGAATTTTCAAACTGGCCAATATAAAATATATTGAACGATACTGAAAACTACATCCGTATGTGGACGCCCTTGATTAGTTGTTCTTATCAGTTATTGGCCAAGCAAATAATTAAGACAATAAATTTACCAACCTCAAAGAGAAACCATGTGTGATCTGTTTACAGTGGCTATGAGTTGCCAAATACAATTCATTCCAACGAGTTTCTATAGAATGATTATTTACTGGCTAAATATAAAAGCATGACAAAATTGACCCAAACAAACGAAATTTATATTTGACCTAAACAAATTTACATTTAATTTGGCATTTTTTAATGTCTCACCCAGGGGTGGATTTAAAGGGGGTATAGGAGGTGTAACCCCCCTCCCAATATTCCTGTGTCTTTCAGTAAATTTTGCTTCCATTCAGTAAAAATCATTTTTGGAAGTCATTAGGTATCAAACAATGCAAAACTTCTACTTTGTTTATCTTTTTAATTTCTTTATCCTTAAGCTAAATAGCAAATTTAGAAATTGGGCATCTTTATTCAGTGACTTGGGCACAGCACCAAAATCCAATTATTATTTAACACCTCCCCCCCTCCAATCCTTGTCACTTAAATCTGTCCCTGGTCTAGCCTTTCTACTAAAACACTGATAATTAAAGTATGTCATTGCCATTGCCATTAAACCACAATCACAAACTAACATTTGACAGAACAACTTGAAACATTGTTATCAATGCACAAAAGCATTCTGGGATTTTGTCTTGCCACAGATTCTAGCCAAAGTTTTCAGAAAAAGATGGTCACCAAAAAACTTGTGCACATACTTTCATGTTTATCAATACATCTGCCAGGTTTAACTGTAGACAAAACTTGCCAAAATATGTCTGGCCAGATCTAGTGGCCTTATAGGAACGTTATTATTTGGCAAAAATTGCTGTGGTCCCTATCTTGTGTCTTTTGACTTTCCATCGTTGGTGTTTGTTCCAGTCTTATTCAACGTGCAGAGAACATGGAGCAAGTGAGAGAGACAGTGTATTGCTTTATAACTCTGATCTGAACTGAACTCACATACAAATTATCATACTTATATACAAAATAAATGTGCTGCATAATGGTGTGTTGTGATAATGTAATGATGATATAATGGAAAAGGAAAGATCTAGACTTGGGAAGAAGTCAGCATGACATAGATGTGTGAATGTGTAAACAATGGTGAAGGGAATGTCCTGTGGTAGGTGATGCAGTGAATGATGTAAGTTGATGTCATGGCAATGGCATGATCGATGAAGGAGTAGGAAGTCCGTGTAAAATGGCCTAAGTAGAGTCACTACAGCCTCACTGCAGAACTGGTGCTTAGTCAGCCCTGGAATGCAGACAGGATGGACAGATCTGCCTATGTGACAAACCATTTTAGAACTGCTATTCTTTAAATTGATAGTTGAGCCTTTTTCTCTATGAAATATTCTGAAGTTGGTTTCAAAAACCAACAGTAAGTTCAACAATTAAAAGAGTTTTGTCTTTTATGATCAAAGCCTGGAGGACAGAAGTTTTTCCAGTTATAACAGAAGGAGAGAATTGAGATCCTAGTAATGATTATAAAATTAGCTCCAACTGAAGGCAGTTGCTCTTAATAGCCAATCTTACTCTTCTGTTGTGAAGCTATGCCAGTGCAGGTTTTTTAAAGGAGAACTGACACGCAAAAATAACTTTGGCTTATTCGATGCAAAATTTGTCGCTGACTTCAAATCTGCAAAAAGTTTTCTTCTAAGATTCGCCGTTTTTCTGATATTTGCACTTTTATCCGTCAATTACGTCACAGCCAGGACTCGGGAATTTCCCGAAGCGGAAACAAGATTATCGCCAGGAGTTGTTAAAATTCTCGGTTGACGTCACAAGTGACATGTTAACAATGCCGTTGTAAAGGCTTTGACCGCAACGGTGAAAGTACAAATGAAGTTTCGTGTTTTATTGAAAAAAGTATGCGATAAAAAGACAAAAAATTGTCAGGCATTTCATTTATAAGTATAAAGAAGCTAGAAAATCCTAGCTACATATCTGATAAGACGCTAATATCCACATAAAATTTATTTTTATGCCATGATATCTTCCAAGCAGCATGCTCCGAAACATTCAAAGAACCTCAAAGCTTGTGAAAAAAGGAATCGACTTTGTTTGAAAACTGATACCGTTTCTTCAAAGTTTTTATTTTTACAATTACAAATAAAACCGCAATATGGGGGTGGGGGGGGGTTGAAGCAATAGACAAAAGACAAACGAAATCTAGTGGAGACAGCGGTAAAAGCGATCCTGCAACCTGCTTAGGGTGCAGAAATATGAATTCAAGAAAAAACCTTGTTTGATGGGAGCTGCAAGTGTGACTAAATAATAATTTCACTGATCTTGATTATTGTATTTTAACAGAGGTTGAGATACTAGGGAATAATCTAGTCTAGAAAAAGACCATCCCCCACCCAAGTCAAAATTGTTTGCAAAAGAAGATAATGCGCCAGTGGATATTCCTATGACAACTAAACAGCATTTTTTCGACTAAGAAATCAAGTTCTTTGGCTAATAGCTAA